TTTCTTTCTTTCTTTCTTTCTTTCTTTCTTTCTTTCTTTCTTTCTTTCTTTCTTTCTTTCTTTCCTTTTCTTTCTTTCAATTTTATTTTTATAACAAAAACAACAAATAAAACCATCTTTCAATTATACAGTTTGTCGGTTGGGTACATATATCTTGTGCATATAATAATATTGATGTACATTTCTTATTGAGTTTACATTCATATTATATTATAGTCAACATTATATATCCTCTTATATCATTATTACATTGTCATTAAATTTTTATTTCAATTTCAAACTATCCTTAAAGGCAAATTCCAACTCTTACTAAATTATATTCATATGAAAGCTTATTCAAATACAATCAGTTTTAGTATATCATTATTAATGTAATATCATTTAATTTCTTACTCTATTTTCTACCCATCCGTAGAATAACTCCCAAATCTTATAGTACCCCTTTTCTTCTTGTTCTCCATTTTTTAATGTTAATCTACCCATTTCTGCACATTTCTGACCGGCAAGCTTAAGACGGTCCTTAGACAGCAGCAAAAGGCTGGAGCAGGTTTTTTTTTCCTCAACCTAAGCAAATTTTAAGATGTGTAGACTTCAATTCCCAGCATGCTGGGCTGGGGAATTCTGGGAGTTGGAAGTCCACGTATCTTAAAGTTGCTAATGTTGCTTGACTGCTACCTTGTGGGTGACTGGATCAAAGTTTAGTAGCCTTTACTTGATGTCTACTTTGATCAAGATAGTGCAGGGGGTCTTCGACTTACGGCCACAATGGAGCCCAAACGCTCCTGTTGTTAAGTGTGACACTCGTTGAGCAAATTTTGCCCCATTGTGCCAGCTTTCGTGCCATGGTTGTTAAGTGGATCACTGCAGGCGATAAATTAGTAACCCGGTTGTTAAGCGAATCTGATTTCCCCATTGACTGCCGGCCAGGTGGTTACAAAAGTTGATCCCTTGTTTATCTGAACCTTGGGACATAGGAACGGTCATATAAATATGAACCAATTGCCAAGCCTCTGAAGTTTGATCGTGTGATTAGCAGGGAGGCTGTGAAGGTCGTAACTGTGAAACACGGCCACTTTTTGCCAGTGCCGTTGTAATGTTTTGAACGGTCACTAAATGAATTGCTCTTAAGTCGAGGACTACCGGTATATTGTCTGTCTTTTACAATTTGGCTCGAGACTTTTCTTTTAACCAGAACTGACCCTGTTTGTTTATAATAAAGTACTCCCTGCTTCCTGCCAGAGAACTGCGTTTTTGGAACCTCGTGGCTTCCTTGTCAACTCTCTCAAGCTTTAGTTGTTCTGCCATAGATGGTCATACTTCCTTACTAAGAAATCCCTTCTACAATGGTCCACTGGCAAGCTTTATCCTAGGACCTAAGAAGGATGAGCTTTGCTGAGTCAGGTGATTTGGAAATTCAGCTCTCCTTCTTCCTGCATTTAGTCACCTAACTCTCAGCTTTGCCTCAGAGCCTTTTCGGGTTTTTTTTTTAAAAATTCATTTATTTATATCCTGCCTTTCTTGTTTTTACAAAAAGCTCAGGGTCGAGAACATATCCAGACTCAGAATAGAGCTGGAAGGGACCTTGGAGGTCTTCTAGTCCAACCCCCTATTCAAGCAGGAGAGATCCTATGCCGTTTGAGATAAGCGTCTGGTTTTGGGTTTTGAAATGGTTCTGTATAAGAGTTGAGGGCTGTTTGGAAAGTGAAAGAAAGGAGGAGACAGCAAGGAATCTGGACATGACTTAGCTCAACTGTTCTGTACTAAAGCTGCTTGGTGCTGTGAAACTGAAACTGAAACTCCTCTCCTCTGCTTGTGTTCTGCATTTGGAAGAGATTTCGTTTCAGGTGGGGAGGGGGAGTAGAACTCCTTAGCATCAGAACATGTTAATAATAATATACGAAATTCTAATGCTCATTGGTCGTTATGAAAAATCCTTTCTTAGTGGGTACCTAGAAGCCAAGACAAATATACATGTCAAATTTCAAGTTTGTAGGCTCTATGGTTCTGGAGATTTTGTGATGATGCATGAATGGTATTTTGCTTTTATATATAGAGAGATTGAAAGTGAATATTACGACGTTAAGAACAGATTTTGCAAAAGGATGCTACCAGGAATGCTCTAAAATAATATCACTATTAGAAGGATGTAGCGAATATTAATAATTGAAAAGTGAAGGATTATGAGCTGATACAGATATGTATAATAACATTAGACCACTTATATTGGATTAATGCAGTAACTTTCACTTGTATCAATATTACTTCGGTACCAAAATGAATGACACTCAGATGCCATGCGCTCCATGCAATGATATTGATCTATGTTTAAAAATAAAAGAAATATATGAAAAAAGAAAGGAAGTTGCTCTGCAAATGTCTTGGGGTCAAGCACAGGGGATTCAAAGAGGTTGTAGCAATGTATTCATCTCACTCACTGAGTTTGGTAGGCGAGCCAGCATTTTAACCCACTGAAATTCAAAATCCAAGTCGCCTCGTGGCAAAGACTTGGAAAGTGCAGGTAGCCCTCAACTCAGTTAGTGATCGTTCAAAGTTGTGACGGCCCTGAACAAAGCGACTTACAACCATTTTTCAAATTTACAAACTTTGCCGCATCCCCTGTGATCACGCGATTGAAATTCAGATGCTTGGCAACCGGTTCATATTTATGACCGTTGTGTCCCCCCCCCCCCCCCCCCAAAGGCCTGGGGTCCCCTTTGGCAACCTTCGGACAAGGAAAATCAAAGGGCCAAGCCGGATTCATGTAAAAACTGGGTTGCTAACTTATCAACGGCAGCAATTTGCTTAACAACTGTGGTGGGAAGAGTTGTAAAACGGGGCAAAGCTCACTAAACAAGCGCACCAACTTAACAACAGAAATTCTAGGATCGATTGCGGTTGTAAATCGAGGAATACCTGTGTTGGTAGCTGACTGGGGAAGCCCCAAAGTGTCGAAACAATGGTTTGTAGGCTTAATTTTGGCCTGCTTAGCTGGATGATTCAATCCATGGAGGCCCTGCTTCCTTCCCACCCTTTTCGGTTCTCCTTGCTGTGTCACGTGGCTTGGACCTTCTCCCCTGAGGAGGAGATATGTCCTGGACCCAAGCTCTCCACCTTGCCCTGTTCTCCTTTTCTGGCCCAGGCCCCCATGTCTGGGAGAGAGGATTTTCACAGCAAAGGACTGACGAGAAGGGACTTACCCATATTTCCCAATGTCTAAGTGGTTGGCTCTGTCCTTAGGTCCGGCGGCTTCCTCCTTCGAATGGAGAGAAGCTACGGAGACTTCTGCCAAGGAAGAAAACAAGAGACACAGGTTAAAGGGTTGACTCTCTGTGATTCATTCAAGGCCTCTTGGATGAGGTCACTTTTGACCACATGGTGAGAGCTGACCAAAGGCACAGCTGCCCTGAGATCCATAGAGATCGGAGAATCAGTCGCAGGCTTTTTCAAGAGAGCCATGTTGAACAAGGGGATCAGCACCTACGTTCGTATGCTAAGGATATTTTGGCGGTTCTTGGATGAGGATTCTATCTAACTAAAATTTGTCTAATTTTATAAGAGCTGTGATGGTGCAGTGGTTAGAGCAGGGGTGGGATTCAGCCGGTTCAGACCGTTTCGGGCGAACCAGATGTTAAATTTACATCCGGGTCACTGAACCGGTAGTTGAACCAACCAGCTGGCCCTGCCGGTCCCACCCAGGAGTCTCCATGGGCCCCGTTTTGCATGCAGATAAATGCAGAATCTGCGCGAAAGCTCTGGGAGAGTGAAAAACGGGCCTTCCGGAAGTCAAATCCGGAAGTGGGCCTGTTTCCGGCTTCTGGAGGGCCTCCGCATCTCAGGGGAGGCCGTTTTCGCCCTCCCAGAGGTCCAAGAGAAGCCTCCGGACCCTGAGGAAGGTGAAAAACAGCCCTCCCGGAACTTCCGGTAGGCCACACCCACCATGGCCACGCCCACCCAGCAACCGGGCAGCAAATCAGTTGCTGAGATTTTTGAATCCCACTCCTGGGTTAGAGTGCAGTATTGCAGGCTACTTCTGCTGACTGCCGGTTGCCTGCAATTTGGCAATTCGAATCTCACCAGAGATTCTCCATTCTTCTGACGTTGGTAAAATGAGGACCCCGGTTGTTTTAGGGCAGGGGTGTCCAACCTTGGCAACTTTTAAGACTTGTGGACTTCAACTCCCAGAATTCCTCAGCCAGCTTTGCTGGCTGAGGAATTCTGGGAGTTG